TTTTTTTTTTTTCACTTTTTTTTTTTTTAATTGTTGGGGAACCATTAAGGATACAATGAGCTAGGTTATACTGCTTGTGTTTGCTGGGTGAAGTCCCTCTATTAATAGTGTCCCACCCTTGGGCAGCGCCTGTGGCTCAGTGGGTAGGACGCCAGCCCCATATACCAAGGGTGGCAGGTTCAAATCTGGCCCTGGCCAAACTGCAATAAAAAAATAGCTGAGCATTGTGGTGGGCACCTGTAGTCCCCACTACTCAGAAGGCTGAGGCAAAGAAAATCACGTGAGCCCAGGAGTTGGAGGTTGCTGTGAGCTGTGTGACACCTTGGCACTCTACTGAGGGTGATAAAATGAGACTCTGTCTCTACAAGAAAACAGTGTCCCACCCTAGCCAGGCATTGTGACAGGTGCCTGCAGTCCCTGCTACTTGGGAGGCTGAGGCAGGAGAATCACTTAAGCCCACCAGTTTGAGGTTGCTGTGAGCTGTGATGCCACAGCACTCCACCAAGGGTAACATAGTGAGACTCTGTCTCAAAAAAAAAAAAAAAATAGTGTCCCACCCCTAAGAAGTATGTCACACACTATTTTTCCATTTTTCTTAAGATAAAAAGAAAAGGAAATAAGTAAGCAGGCCTAGATTATTAAATAGAGGCAACTAAGAAATTTTTATGCAGCAGCAACAGTAGACCTGAGAAAGTGTTACCAATGTATAAGCTGAGGTTGATTCACAGGATACCAGACTTCAGTGTAAGAAAGAGGGCCTTAGTTGAAGCTGCAGCCAGCCAGCCAGTAGCCATGTATGTGTGTGTGTGTGTGTGCTGTATGTGTAAGCCACATTTCTGTCCTTGCTTTTTTCAAGGAATATGGTCTATGACTGTCCTCAGAGAACATAACTGTTCCTTATGCTCTATCAGTTCTACCTCCTCTCTGTCATGTGCTATAAATATCTTTATCATCAGCCAGCTGAAACTAGTTTTAATAGCTTCAAGTGAAGATGAATGAAATATTAGTTAAGGCCAGGCATGGTGGCCCATACGTGTTATCCTAGCATTCTTGGAGGTTGAGGTAGAAGTATCTCTCAAGCTCTGGAGTTGTTTGGGGGTTTTTTTTGTTTTTTTTTTCCAGGAGGCCAAGAAATATTTTGTTGACAACCAGGGACATAGCCATAAGAGAGGAAAACACACAGGACTGCAAACTAAAACCCAACAGTCAGCAAGGGCGCTCTGGGCCAGAAACACTGCATCCTGGGGTCCTCATAGTCTCCCACTAGTAGACACAAAACACTAGGCATCCAGGGGAGGGGGTGGTGGCTCTGGTGTCCCAGAGAGTGAGAGGATATATGATGCCTCTATGAGAGACAGGGTAAGGAGGTAAAATGGAATGAGGGCCTATCACTGCCTAAGACCATCTCTTCCTCTCAGAGCCAACACCAGGTGGAGGACTGAACCACCTAAGATTTTGTAATCAGCTGCTGTTTTTTCATCATTCATCTGTTTGCCACTATAGATGAGCTGCTGCTATTGTGGGGGGATTCCTTCTTTTTCCTCTACACGCTCTTTGATTCGCTCCACCTTGTCTGTGGGCTCAATTTCAATCTCAATCTCCTTTCTGGTCAGCGTCTTCACTTTAATTAGCATCTTCTTTCCAGTTTGGGGCTGCACATGGATACATTGCTGCTTCTGCCGCTGTGGTCCCTATTGCCGTTCTCCAGCACTCCACCTGTCTCAAGCTCTGGAGTTTAAGACCAGCCTATGCCAGACCAAGACCCATCTATACTAAAGATAGAAAAAAATTAGCCGGGCATTGTCATCCCAGTTACTTTGGAATTTGAGGCAGAAGGATCACTTGAACCCAGGATTTTGATGTTGCTGTCAACTAGGGTGCTAGGGTGACACCATGGCATTCGAGCCTAGGCAACAGAGTGAGACTCTGTCAAAAAGAAAACAAATACTAGTTACTAGATTTCCTGAAAGATCCAGGAAAATAAATTCTACTTTATCTGTTAAAACAAACAAAAAAACCAACAGGGCGGTGCCTGTGGCTTAGTGAGTAGGGCGCCAGCCCCACATATCAAGGGTGGCAGGTTCAAACCTAGCCCTGGCTAAGCTACAACAAGAAAAAAAACAACAGCAAGGAGTAATAGATCATTTATTTGCATTTTTCAGCCGTAAATACAGGCAATTCCCTGTTAATGAATGAGATAGTTTCTGTAGGTTTGTTCTTAAGTTGAATCTATATATAAGTTGGGACAGGTACATGTACCCATTACCTGTAATAGCTTCCATTCATAAGTGCACGTTGCATATCAGTTGGATGTTTATAACTCAGGGATTGCCTGTAACCTCTTACCATACAACTGACGCCTAACTAGAAGATGCCATAAGAATAAAAGTACATGGCTCGGCGCCTATAGCTCAACCGGCTAAGGCGCCAGCCACGTACACCTAAGGTGGTGGGTTCGAATCCCCAGCCCGGACCTGCCAAACAACAAT